GCTGGCTGTTACGTCATCTTACACAATGATTGGCTGGCTGTTACGTCATCTTGCACAGTGATTGGCTGGCTGTTACGTCATCTTGCACAGTGATTGGCTGGCTGTTACGTCATCTTGCACAGTGATTGGCTGGCTGTTCCGTCATCTTGCACAGTGATTGGCTGGCTGTTACATCATCTTACACAATGACTGGTTGGATGTTACGTCATCTCGTCGGTGATTGGTTCTTCCTTATTCAGTCTGGAGTGTGGTCGCCAATTAGTGTTTTTTAAAATATTATATCAGTTCGACTTTATTAAAAACACTATATTAAATATTTTTCTTTTAGAGTGGTTGAGAATTTTAAATAGAAGAAAAACACAAGAAAAAAAATATTAAAAACTCGGATTTTTATTGCGTTTTGGGGTGTGGTTTGTGAGGGAGTAGATAGAGGTGCAACCTTCCTTATGTTCTTTCACTTGTGTATCTGCTGAAGAGGACCCCTGGAGGGGGGTTGAAATATGCAGATCAGTTTATCTCGTGAGTTTCTGTCTCTCTGTTGGTTATTACTGAACATTGACAAGTGTTTCTGTCTCTCTGCTGGTTATTACTGAACATTGACAAGTGTTTCTGTCTCTCTGCTGGTTATTACTGAACATTGACAAGTGTTTCTGTCTCTCTGCTGGTTATTACTGAACATTGACAAGTGTTTCTTTACACTTTAGTTGTTCAAGTCAATATTTATACACTTAGTTTAGGTTAAACTCTGCTTAAGTAGGGAAAATATGTCGGACTGGCGGTAAACAGGTTACCTTGCAGCCTCAGTGACTCTCATACAGTCGATAGGCTTTAAACTCAGCCAGCCAGTGTACAAGTGTGTGCTAGTACCAGACGAGCTTATTCCTCTGGTAATATCGAAAATAAGTCGGGAAAATATTTTTGTTAGTGGGTTTGGGCTTATGAAGAGCCTGCCTAGTATGGGCCAGTAGGCCTGCTGCAGTGTTCCTCCTTTCTTATGTTCTCGAAGCATTGTTCACGTGTACAGGTGACCACGTCCCTTGGTACCAAATATTTACCATTGACGTCCCTGAGAGTGACGCTGTGGGGAAGAGACGTCCATGTGTATTGTTAATGTGTGGGAGGTACGTGGGTTCTAGCATGGGTGATGCTGGGAGGAGGAGGTTACAAGTGTTGGTGTGGGAGTGTAGTGGTGCTCACGGGTGATGCTGGGAGGAGGTTACAAGTGTTGGTGTGGGAGTGTGGTGGTGCTGGGTGATGCTGGGAGGAGAAGGTTATAAGTGTTGGTGTGGGAGTGTGGTGGTGCTGGGTGATACTGGGAGGAGAAGGTTATAAGTGTTGGTGTGGGAGTGTGGTAGTGCTGGGTGATACTGGGAGGAGAAGGTTATAAGTGTTGGTGTGGGAGTGTGGTGGTGCTGGGTGATGCTGGAAGAGAAGGTTACAAGTGTTGGTGTGGGAGTGTGGTGGTGCTGGGTGATGCTGGGAGGAGAAGGTTACAAGTGTTGGTGTGGGAGTGTGGTGGTGCTGGGTGATGCTGGGAGGAGAAGGTTATAAGTGTTGGTGTGGGAGTGTGGTGGTGCTGGGTGATGCTGGGAGGAGAAGGTTATAAGTGTTGGTGTGGGAGTGTGGTGGTGCTGGGTGATACTGGGAGGAGAAGGTCATAAGTGTTGGTGTGGGAGTGTGGTGGTGCTGGGTGATGCTGGGAGGAGGAGGTTATAAGTGTTGGTGTGGGAGTGTGGTGGTGCTGGGTGATGCTGGGAGGAGAAGGTTATAAGTGTTGGTGTGGGAGTGTGGTGGTGCTGGGTGATGCTGGGAGGAGAAGGTTATAAGTGTTGGTGTGGGAGTGTGGTGGTGCTGGGAGGAGAAGGTTATAAGTGTTGGTGTGGGAGTGTGGTGGTGCTGGGTGATGCTGGAGGAGAAGGTTATAAGTGTTGGTGTGGGAGTGTGGTGGTGCTGGGTGATACTGGAGGAGAAGGTCATAAGTGTTGGTGTGGGAGTGTGGTGGTGCTGGGTGATGCTGGGAGGAGGTTATAAGTGTTGGTGTGGGAGTGTGGTGGTGCTGGGTGATGCTGGGAGGAGAAGGTTATAAGTGTTGGTGTGGGAGTGTGGTGGTGCTGGGTGATGCTGGGAGGAGAAGGTTATAAGTGTTGGTGTGGGAGTGTGGTGGTGCTGGGTGGTGCTGGGAGGAGAAGGTTATAAGTGTTGGTGTGGGAGTGTGGTGGTGCTGGGTGATGCTGGGAGGAGAAGGTTATAAGTGTTGGTGTGGGAGTGTGGTAGTGCTGGGTGATACTGGGAGGAGAAGGTTATAAGTGTTGGTGTGGAGTGTGGTGGTGCTGGGTGATGCTGGGAGGAGGTTATAAGTGTTGGTGTGGGAGTGTGGTGGTGCTGGGTGATGCTGGGAGGAGAAGGTTACAAGTGTTGGTGTGGGAGTGTGGTGGTGCTGGGAGGAGAAGGTTACAAGTGTTGGTGTGGGAGTGTGGTGGTGCTGGGTGATACTGGGAGGAGAAGGTTATAAGTGTTGGTGTGGGAGTGTGGTGGTGCTGGGTGATGCTGGGAGGAGAAGGTTACAAGTGTTGGTGTGGGAGTGTGGTGGTGCTGGGAGGAGAAGGTTATAAGTGTTGGTGTGGGAGTGTGGTGGTGCTGGGTGATGCTGGGAGGAGAAGGTTACAAGTGTTGGTGTGGGAGTGTGGTGGTGCTGGGTGATGCTGGGAGGAGAAGGTTATAAGTGTTGGTGTGGGAGTGTGGTGGTGCTGGGTGATGCTGGAGGAGAAGGTTACAAGTGTTGGTGTGGGAGTGTGGTGGTGCTGGGAGGAGAAGGTTATAAGTGTTGGTGTGGGAGTGTGGTGGTGCTGGGTGATGCTGGGAGGAGAAGGTTACAAGTGTTGGTGTGGGAGTGTGGTGGTGCTGGGTGATACTGGGAGGAGAAGGTCATAAGTGTTGGTGTGGGAGTGTGGTGGTGCTGGGTGATGCTGGGAGGAGGTTATAAGTGTTGGTGTGGGAGTGTGGTGGTGCTGGGTGATGCTGGGAGGAGAAGGTTATAAGTGTTGGTGTGGGAGTGTGGTGGTGCTGGGTGATGCTGGGAGGAGAAGGTTATAAGTGTTGGTGTGGGAGTGTGGTGGTGCTGGGTGGTGCTGGGAGGAGAAGGTTATAAGTGTTGGTGTGGGAGTGTGGTGGTGCTGGGTGACAACCAGGACTGTTCTGAGACCCGGGCCGCAGGGGTCATCATCTCTGGAGTCAGCAAAAGGTAGGTTCCAGGTAAATACCAGGTAGATGCTGTATAAATACCAGGAAGATGCTGTATAAATTCTAGGAACATATATAATTCCAGGTAGATTCTATAATACTAAGTAGATGCTGTATAAATACCAGGAAGATGTATAATACCAGGTAGATGCTGTATGAATACCAGGAAGATGTATAATACCAGATAGATGCTGTATAAATACCAGGAAGATGTATAATACCAGATAGATGCTGTATAAATACCAGGAAGACCCGTTTTGTTTTTATTGTCAATAATGTTGCTTTTAGTGTTGAGTATTTTTAATTTTAATGTTATTGAATAATATTGTTATCAATGTTGTTTTCGTGCTGTATATTACACGTATATTACAAAAGATATTATTATTATTATTATTATTATTATTATTATTATTATTATTATTATTATTATTATTATTATTATTATTGAGGTGCATGTTCCATTATTATATTGTTATTATTATTATTATTATTATTATTATTATTATTATTATTATTATTATTATTATTATTATTATCAATATTAGTATTATTAGCACCATTCTTTTACCAGTGTTAGTTTGCTAACCACAGTAAACAGTAACCCAGCAGCCTGTTATAATAAACAGTAACCCAGCACCCTCTGTTGTTATAATAAACAGTATCCCAGCACCCTCTGTTATAAACAGTAACCCATCACCCTCTGTTGTTATAAATAACCCAGCACCCTCTTATAATAAATAAACAGTAACCCAGCACCCTCTGTTATAATAAACAGTAACCCAGTACCCTGTTATAATAAACAGTAACCCAGCACCCTGTTATAATAAACAGTAACCCAGCACCCTCTGTTGTTTTAATAATTGTAACCCAGCACCCCCTGTTGTTAAAATAAACAGTAACCCAGCACCCTCTGTTGTTATAATAAACAGTAACCCAGCACCCTCTGTTGTTATAATAAACAGTAACCCAGCACCCTCTGTTGTTATAATAAACAGTAACCCAGCATCCTGTTATAATAAACAATAACCCAGCACCCTCTGTTGTTATAATAAACAGTAACCCAGCACCCTCTGTTATAATAAACAGTAACCCAGCACCCTCTGTTTTTATAATAAACAGTAACCCAGCATCCTGTTATAATAAACAGTAACCCAGCACCCTCTGTTGTTATAATAAACAGTAACCCAGCACCCTGTTATAACAAACAGTAACCCAACACCCTCTGTTGTTATAATAAACAGTAACCCAGCACCCTGTTATAATAAACAGTAATCCAGCACCCTCTGTTGTTATAATAAACAGTAACCCAGCACCCTCTGTTATTATCAAAATACCCATTAAGTTAACACTGGTGTTGAAAAGAAAGTTACATGTAGCCTTCATGACCCTCGTGTAGTAGATAGTCTTTAAACCCCATTAGGTAAGGTTACGTTTGTCAAGAAACAGGACAAGTGTTTCCTGACGTGGGTTTTAGTAATATGATGACCCATAGCTGGAGCTTTTGGTCATCTGACCGAGGCCTTCAACTGGCTTACCACTCCACCACTTTAAAAATTATGGTTATGATTATAGCCATGTTAGATAGGAGTGAGTGGAGACAAATGGTTTTTATAACTTAACGTGCTGTTGGAGTGTGAGCACTTGGGACGGGATTCAGGGAAACCGGTGAGCCGGACATGAGTCCTGGAGGTGGGAAATACAGTGCCGGAACTCTTTTAAGCCCTATTAGTCATTAGGTGAAGAGAGATTAACCCAGTACTATGTACCTGCAGGTGATTGACTTCGGGTCTTCGTGTTTGGAGAACCAGAGAGTGTACACCTACATCCAGAGTCGCTTCTACAGGGCCCCGGAGGTCATCCTCGGAGCCAAGTATGGCATGGCCATTGACATCTGGTCCCTGGGCTGCATCTTGGCTGAACTTCTAACTGGTTACCCACTCCTTCCTGGCGAGGTTAGTAGTGCAGAAGAGGAGGAGGAGGAGGAGATGGAAGAGGAGGACCTTCATGGGAGGTTAGTTAGTTACTGGCTGTTGATAAACACTTGGCCTGTTGTTTTGTTATGAGTGTTTGTGTGTGTGGTTTGTACACCTAGTATCCTATAATTATGGAAGTGTTGGTGTGTATGGAATGTTTATTGTCAGAAGTCCACAGTGTTGTTATAAAATCTCCCAAAGAGCATTTTGAGACACTGTATATAACTATACAGATTGATCACAAATGTTCTTCTCCACTAACTTGAGAAAAATAGTGTGATAGTAGTTTTGTAGTGTTAGAAATATTGTTGCTTAGTCATTCTGGCTTCACAGGCAAGCCAATCCACTTTTTTTTTTGTAGTTTAAATTTTCATTATTATACAGTGATTTTTATTTTTTCGTGGTTGCAGTCCATTAATTCAGTACAGTAGTTCGTTTATTATGTTACTTAGTCCCTGGTTTATCTTCTCAAATTCTTCTCTTACCCAGTATGATATTCAGTGGTTTACTGTATGTATTTATAATGCCTTTCAACTTAGCTTAATGGCTATACGCTTGCCTTTGGTCACAGATGTCTGAGGATCACTTGTCAAGTGAACACAGTGGAACCTTGAGTTTCGGCTGCTTTTTTCGGCTAAATTTTGCCTCGAGTTTTGCCCTGTGCCCCGTGTTTCGGCCGGCGTACCAGACCTGTCCACGCCTGTGTGTCTGCCCGGGCATCGTGTGCCAGTCTAGCTTTGTTTCTCCTTGAGTGAATATTACCCTGCGTGCTCATCCAAACATTTCACAATAAATTAATTGTGTTTAGTGCTTGTTTATTGATTGTGACTATTAACAGTCACAATCAGTGTACAGTGTAGCAAGTAAGTTAAGTGATTAAGCGATAGAAAAATGACAACACGAAACTTAACTCCTCCATTGTTGTTTGAGGTATATAGGGTGACTTAAAAACACCAACGCCTCTGCTGCCGCTTATGCTTATGCTCTCAGTGGCCCTTATACACCCAACAACACAACATAATGCCAATCATGACATACGTAATGACGTATTTTATTCATTCTAGAGCATATGTCATGTTTCTATGTTATTAGTATTGTTTATGTCATATTAGACGAATTGTGATAGATAAATAAGCTATAGATTTGATATTAGTGCCATAGTGAAGGGCTATCTTGTCCTGCCTCCAAACAAACTCTCCTGCCTCTCTCATACTCCAACAAGAGTCTTCAGTAAAGGTAAAACTGATTTAAATGTTCATTTATCCATTAAAATTAGTGCTTTATATTTATTTCTCATTGTTTTCTGTATGTAAAATATAGTATTTATTCTTTAAAAAATAACTTTTTGTGAATATTTTTGGGTGGAATGGATTAATTGGATTTACATTATTTCTTATGGGAAATATTGCTTCGACTTTAGGCCTAGCTCCTGGAATGGATTACAGCTGAACCTCAGGGTTCCACTATATCCCAGTAAAACCGTATAAAAATATGAATGTATTTATAATTATAAGTTTTATATCTTTGTTCTGGATCTCTACCGCTAAAATTTAAGCATTATTTGTTGTAGATTTTAATCTTCATAGCTTGAAGTGATTCACTGGCCAGAATTTCCAAGTTTTCTCCTCGTTTCCTTCCAACTCTGAATCTTTGCCCAACACAAGAGTTACCCTCAAATGTCACCTTATTTAGAATATATTTTCAGTTGAATTTCGTGTAAACATACTACATATAAGGTTTATAAAGTGTTTTGATTCTAGTATTTACTTTAGTGCCACACAAGTGACCCTCGACTTAAAATAGTTCAACTTGGGATGTTTTGACTTTACGATGGTGCTAAAGCAATTATTTTGGAGATGAAGTTTAAAATAATTACCCAGCATGAAAGCAACAAGTCCCTAACTTGTATTTGTTTATTTACTTTTCAATACTGGTATTTAGTCAGTTATAGTAAATATTTCTTTATTTACTTATTCTGTGACAGTAGTTATTTATTTACTTCTTATTTAGCACATATTCACATTCAACTTAAATATTTTTGACTTACAATGGGCTCGTTGGAACGTAACCCAATCGTAAGTTGAGAAGCACATGTATACACTTAGTAAAATTCACCTAGTGACATGTAAGTTGTGACATGAATGCCTGGTGAAATATATACTAAGTAATGGGAAGAAATCGCTATAAAAATGTGTGGCTACAAATATGGAAAAATATTACAGTAAAAAAAAAAATGACAAATATCTGAGCTCTTGAACATCCATCATCAGGCTTTTGTGTGAGTGTTAGATTTGAGTGAGCAGTTTTTATGACTAGGTGTGCTGTTGGAGTGTGAGCAAAGTAACATTTATGAAGAGATTCAAGAAAACCAGTTAGCTGGATTTGAGTCCTGGGGAAGTGGAGATATTGCAGTTCAGAGGGTCATCAAAACTGTGAAGTCAGCATGCTTATAATAATAATAATAATAATAATAATAATAATAATAGTTTATCAAGACATGATACATAGTTGTACAAGGTATTATAGTAGTTGGGTGTACATGTCCAAAAACCCTTGTATGCAGAGCATTATGGGCAGGCTTCAAGCAAGACAGAAGTTGAATGAATACTGGTAAATGTGTTTTCTCATTTTCTGGGGGTACCCCACCTTGGTGGGAGATGGCTGATTTGTTAAAACAAAAAAAAATGCTTCTATGAGTTTTTACACACACACACACACACACACACACACACACACACACACACACACACACACACACTCACACTCACACTCACACTCTCACTCTCACTCTCACTCTCACTCTCTGTCTCTGTCTCTGTCTCTGTCTCTGTCTCTGTCTCTGTCTGTCTGTCTGTCTGTCTGTCTGTCTGTCTCTCTCTCTCTCTCTCTCTCTCTCTCTCTCTCTCTCTCTCTCTCTCTCTCTCTCTCTCTCTCTCTCTCTCTCTCTCTCTCTCTCTCTCTCTGCATACAACTGAGGAAGAAGTGAAGAGGCTGCTAAGTGGGCTAGATACCCCAAAGGCAATGAGGCCGGATAACATCTCTCCATGGGTCCTGAGAGAGGGAGCAGAGGCGCTTTGTGTACCACTAACAACTATCTTCAACACATCTATCGAAACAGGACGCCTACCAGAAGTATGGAAGACAGCAAATGTAGTCCCAATTTTTAAAAAAGGAGTCAGACATGAAGCATTAAACTACAGACCAGTGTCATTGATGTGTATAGTATGCAAGGTCATGGAGAAAATTATCAGGAAAAGAGTGGTGGAGCACCTAGAAAGGAATGAGCATAACGACAGCCAGCACAGTTTCAGGGACGGGAAACCCTGTGTCACAAACCTACTGGAGTTCTATGACAAGGTGATGGCAGTAAGACAAGAGAGAGAGGGGTGAGTAGATTGCATTTTCTTGGACTCTAAAAGGCTTTTGACACAGTTCCACACAAAAAATTGGTGCAAAAGCTGGAGGACCAGGCAGAGATAACAGGGAAGGCACTACAATGGATCAGGGAATACCTGTCAGGAAGACAACAGCGAGTCATGGTATGTGGCAAGGTGTCAGAGTGGGTGCCTGTAACGAGCGGGGTGCCACAGGGATCAGTCCTAGGACTAGTGCTGTTTCTGGTGTTTGTGAACGACATGACGGAAGGAATAGATTCCGAAGTGTCCCTGTTTGCAGATGATGTGAAGTTGATGAGAAGAATTCAATTGGACGAGGACCAGGCAGAACTACAGAGGGATCTAAACAGGCTGCAGGCCTGGTCCAGCAAATGGCTTTAGGAGTTCAACTCCACCAAGTGCAAAGTCATGAAGATTGGGGAAGGGCAAAGAAGACCACAGACGGAGTACAATCTAGGGAGCCAGAGCCTACAAACCTCACTCAAGGAAAAGGATCTTGGGGTGAGTATAACACCGGGCACATCTCCTGAGGTGCCTGGCAAACCTAAGAACAGCATTCTGACATCTAAATAAGGAGTCATTCAGGACCCTATACACTGTGTACATTAGGCCCATGTTGGAGCATGCAGTGCCAGTTTGGAACCCTCACCTAGCTAAGCATGTGAGGAAACTAGAGAAAGTGCAAAAGTTTGCGACACTCCTTGTCCCGGAGCTAAGGTGTATGCCCTCCGAGGAGAGGCTAAGGGAAATCGACTTGACGACACTGGAAGACAGGAGAGATAGAGGGATATGATAACTACATATAAAATGCTAAGAGGAATCGACAAGGTGGACAGAGACAGGATGTTCCAGAGATAGACACAGCAACAAAGGGTCACAGTTGGAAGTTGAAGACTCGTATGAATCGCAGGGACATTAGGAAGTATTTCTTCAGTCACAGAGTTGTCAGGAAGTGGAGTAGTCTGGGAAGTGATGTAGTGGAGGCAGGATCCATACATAGCTTTAAGAAGAGGTATGACAAAGTGCTTGGAGCAGGAAGAGTGACCTAGTAGTGACCAGTGAAGAGATGTGAGGCCAGGAACTATGAATCGACCCCTGCAACCACAACTAGGTGAGTACACACACACATGCACACGCATGGGCGTGCACACACATTTTCGGAGGCTGTGTAAGTATGTACATCACTATCATATTTTTCATGTCATAGCTATACAGTCACATAAATTATATTACAAGTTATGTTTATATACTGCATTAATTTAAATAAAAAAAAGGTGATATATGGGAGCATTTGTTGACATGGTTCATGATATGTGTTGAGGCAGGAAGATATTTGCTTATTAATGTAGTGTTAAATAACTAGAGAGAGTCTTTTTTTAATATAAAGGGATTTAATTTTTTCTAATAATTGTTTTACAGTGGAACCTCAAATATCAAACTTTCTTCGGTCCAGAAGGTTGTTCGAGTGCAGCTACCAAATGAATTTATTCCCATCGACATTCGATACTAATCCGTTCCTGAGAGCTATCGAATGTTGAAAATATCGAAAGTCGAATTAATTTTCCCCATTAAAAATAATGGAAATCAAATTAATCTGTGCAAGACACCCAAAAGTATGAAAAAAAAAATTTACCACATGAAATATTAAGTTTAATGCAATAGAATAATTACAGTAACAACAATAACAATAGATTAATAACAATAGAATAATTGACACTTACCTTTAATGAAGATCTGGTGATGATTGATGGGATGGGAGGAGGGAAGAGTGTGGATGGTGTAAGTGTTTAGAAGTGGAATCCCCTTCCATTAGGACTTGAACTGGCAGCCTCACCATGCCTTACCACACTGTGTATGCCACTACGATTCTTAAATCTTTCAAACCAACCTTTGCTGGCCTTAACTTCACTCACATCACCACTAGTTGCAGGCAATTTCTTTACCAAATCATCATGCACTCTGACACACGCACTCCACTTTCGTACTTTGCAATTATCTCTTTCTTCATTTCAATAGTCATTAACACCTTTTTTCTCGAAGGGATGGCACTAGAAGCTTTCTTGGGGCCCATGGTGACTTATTTTGCAGAAACAAGCACCAAAAACAGTGATAATATGGAATGTACTGAATGTATCCTTAGATGCGCGCACACTGGCTGGCTTGTAAACACTGGCACACACGGGGCAGTTCAGGCCACACGTGGACACGTCTCGTACGAATCGTATCGAATATCGGGTTTTCCATCGAATGTCGAGGCAAAATTTTTGCGTTAAAATGCATCGAATGTTGGATTTATCGAATGCCGATGCCTTCGAATGTCGGGGGGCCACTGTATTTCTGTCTAAGTGCATTATCTTTCTTAGTACCCTAGGTGCAACAACACTAATATACGCTATTGAATATTTCCTGCATTTTCCACATTATCTTCTGATGTCTTTTACTTTTTTTTTCAATATTTTTTCATTATTCCTGGGTGGGTGATCCTCCCTGGGTGGGTGCTCCACCCTGGGTGGGTGCTCCACCCTGGGTGGGTGCTTCTCCCTGGGTGGGTGCTCCTCCCTGGGTGGGTGCTCCTCCCTGGTTGGGTGCTCCTCCCTGGTTGGGTGCTCCACCCTGGTGGGTGCTCCACCTGGGGGGGTGCTCCACCCTGGGTGGTGCTCCACCCTGGGTGGGTGCTCCACCCTGGGTGGGTGCTTCTCCCTGGGTGGGTGCTCCTCCCTGGGTGGGTGCTCCTCCCTGGTTGGGTGCTCCTCCCTGGTTGGGTGCTCCACCCTGGGTGGGTGCTCCACCCTGGGTGGGTGCTCCACCCTGGGTGGGTGCTCCACCCTGGGTGGGTGCTTCTCCCTGGGTGGGTGCTCCACCCTGGGTGGGTGCTCCACCCTGGGTGGGTGCTCCACCCTGGGTGGGTGCTCCTCCCTGGGTGGGTGCTCCTCCCTGGTTGGGTGCTCCTCCTTGAGTGAGTACTCCTCCCTGAGTGAGTGCTCCATCTTGGGTGGGTGCTCCTCTCTTCCTCTCATACAGTGGAGTAATGAGATAATAATATTCATGCAAATGTTTTGTTAACGTTTTGTTGAGAATAAGGATGGTAAACAATTGTGTGTTTTCAGGACGAGGCGGATCAGCTAGCCTGCATCATCGAGCTGCTGGGGATGCCACCAGCGAAGTTGCTAGAGCAAAGCAAGCGGGCTAAGAACTTCATCACCAGTAAGGGTTATCCTCGCTACTGTGTGACCCGAACCCTCCCTGATGGCTCCACCATCCTCCATGGAGGCCAGTCTCGGAGAGGCAAGCCTCGGGGCCCCCCTGGTTCAAAGTCCCTCCAGACGGCTCTCAAAGGCTGCAATGACCCGCTCTTCCTGGACTTCATCCAGCGGTGCCTGGACTGGGACCCAACGACGCGGATGACGCCAAGTCAGGCCCTGCGCCATGGTTGGCTACGGCGGCGATTACCGAAACCTCCTTCAGAAAAGAGCGACTCCCCTGCCTCCACCCTCCGCACTCCTTCCTCTTCCTCTTCATCCCGCACACCCTCCTCTGCCACCAAGCTCAACACCATTGCCACCTCGGCCACCAAACTTCGTGCCACTATCACAGATGATGGTGGCGCTGCCACCATGCACCCGCGACACCACACCAAACTACCACAGATCACGAATCCGGTGACCTGAGCCCCGCCCTCTATAGGAAACACCATCCCTCATGCCCAGTGGTGCGGCCCAGGGTCCCCGGAGGCTCTGTGCCCACAGGGGGCCGCGCCGCTCACATATCACCAGACCAAAGTGCAATTGTGGCAGTATTGGGCACGTGCAGAGTGAGCGGGCGTGCGGGCGGGCGGGCGGCGTGTGAGGCGGGACACTCGCCCACGCCCCCGACACCCACGGCCCGCCGCCACACCCACTAGTCGCATTATTTGGTTGATATTACAACTTCACTATGATCTCGCCTTGTTCACAAAGGGGCGTGTGCGGGCGTGCGGGCGGGCAGCATGGACTCTCACGCCCACCCGCCTGCCCCTGCCCACACCCGCAGTCAACCTCCTGGTTTGCTAATGCAATCAAAACCTTATGGTATTACCGACTGGGGATAAAGAATTTATACTCATTTTATACTTAGCACAATGGAAACCAACGAAAATAATGGTGTGACAATTCACATTGTTTTTCTAAAGAATAACAAAATGCAGTTTGTTTATTAAGAGAAAGTAACATTTTAATAGAAGCACAGTAATAGTGATGCTGCAGATCTCTCAAGCTCTCTTTTAATGGGTGAAAGCAGCAGTAAAGCAGCAAAGTTTGAATGCAGAATCAGCAGTACTACCTGTAGCAGCTGCCTCATCTCCCCAGGTTCAGGGTCAAAGGACACAGACCTCGCTCTCCATCTGGAATCACAAGATTCTTTATTCATGCAGAGTTGGGGGTTGGTGGTTTCACTAGTATTAAGGATCTGTTGATTTTTGAGTAGGCCAGAGGTCAGTGTTCTTTCTCCGCCTTGGTTGAAAGGGCATACGCTTTTTTTTTTTCTTTGGAGTCCAAAGTCATGATGGGGTCAGCAACCTTGAGGAAGCTCAAATCGTGTCGTCTGATTCTGGTTCTCAAATCACTGGCTTGGTTCCTTGGATCATGAGAAGTCAGGCCATCACTAGTTTGGTTTACTGTATCATGAGAAGCCAGGCCATTACTAGCTTGGTTCCCTGGATCATGAGAAGCCAGATCATCATTGGCTTCATTTCCTGGATCACAAGAAGCCAGGCCATCACTGGTTTGTTACCCAAGATTTGATTCTGACAAGCCAGCAGAATAAACCTGGTTGGCTCTTGACACCCTTGGCAAGATGCATTCACTGTCTGCTGGGAGCACATTGCCACTGCTGCTGCCTGGCCATGTGCCATGCTATGGGGCCCACTGGCCCGGCCTCCACTCAGGGACCATGGCAGGCCATCACCACTGCCTAAATTCTATGATATCTCTACTATTGTCAGGCATTCATTAAATTCTCAGCGATCAGTGATGAGTGTACTAAATCCACAACAATTATAGTGCAATATGGTTATCAGTTAAGCCTGTATATGTCTGTGAATCTCAATTTGTGGAGATGAGAGCTGCTGCTGCTGCTTCTGGTACTGCGGATGCTGCTGTTGCTTCTGTTGCAAACAGTCATGCTGCTCGGTGGGAGAGGCTGAAATGTTGGCTTCAGCAGAGCTTTGGACAGCCCAGTTATGCCTTGGGCCTATCTGGACTGGGAATTAGATGCAATTGGGATTTTTTAGCTAACCTTAAAGATACCTTTGTTGAGGTACGGTATTTAGTGTTCCCTTTGTTATGTTTCTCCATGTTGGATGGAACATTTTGAACAAAGACATTGAAACAATTTTCATTTGGCATTTAAATAGATAAGGGTGACTTACTGAGGTGTTGCACTGCCTTATTTGCTCATATGGTAGGCCTATAATTTTGTTTATGTTAGGCCTATAATTGTGTTATATTTTACACTCATTTGATAACTCTTACTGTGTAACTATCATGCCGATTCCCTCTGAAAGAGTATCACCACTACGACCTTCATTTTTCTTTAAATAATATTTATTACATTGTTTTCCTTTACTCTGACAATCGTGGCTGTCTTCGCGCCTGCCAAAGTTTAACTGCATCTTACGGGTTAATCAGTCATTATGTCAGAAGTATTAGTATTGTGTGTGAGGTGGGACTTGTATCATGTGCACACTGCCACTGGGGCTTGCTGACACGCTGCCCGAATGAACCCAGGATCCCCAGATGAACTCTGGGATGCCCGGGCGAACTCGGGACGCCCGGATGAAACTGGTAGTCCGAACGTGTTTTTTTCAGTGCCACCACTCAAAATGGGTTCACATGTTGGTTCAATGATAACTGATGAAAGAGGACAAAATAATTGGTTTTGAAAGTCAACTCAGTGAGAATATTTTTTTCAGATAAAGACGTAGTGTTCCTTTTGTGTGAAGATGATGTAGTTCATTTTTTTGTAAGAAGTGCAATATTTTGTAGAAGAAGGGACAGCACACTTTGCGGGCAAAGCGTTTGGAATGCATGTCTTGGTCATCATTAGTGGAGTGAGTCAACAAGTCAGCAGCATGTAAATGCTTAACAAAAAAATATATAAAACAAACAAGATTGCTTTAGATTAAGTTTTTTTCCCTTTTGGGATCTGAACGAGAAATTTTTTGAAGATTTTTTGAAGATTATATCACTGCTGATTGTGTGTGTGTCATGTGAGAGGAAGTGAAGAGGGTGTTGGTGGGAGGCCTTGAAGCCATCCAGTGTGTACACAGTAAGGACGACTGTCCGATTGCCTACCAGAGACGACTTCAGTGTCCAACCCACAAATGACTTGACATTTACCAGTATAAAAACTCTTTAAAATTGACAGACCACTAACCTGCAATATGGACTGATGATAAATACCTCATTCAGAAATTACCGATGAGGCATTGGAAAATGAGTGGCTTGGCTGTAGGTTTGAACAACTTTATGCTAACATTTATGTTGAGATTCAAGATGATGGCTATGCAAAATGTTTATAAATACAAGAGATTTGTAATGAGTAGCTTAAAAAGCTTGAGCATTATTTATTTATAGTCTTCCCTGAAAAAATACTCTGGTCAGGGATTTGTTTCTATACACTGCACAGTAATTTCAAATGTATGTACAGGCAATTTAAATTAAATACATTTCAGAATTTTTGTATTCAAAATTGTGAGCGTATACAGTATCTGATTTATTCAATTTTCAGTTTTTTTGAGTTGTGTATTTGTAACTAATTGTCAGTAAATTGTTTGTTTGGTCATCAGTAAGCAGCATTGTATAACCCAGATGAGTGTAAGACTTGTTTTTAATATAATAATTATAATTCTCATCAGCAAGTTGTGCTGTAGGACCCACATAGGTTTAGCTCTTGTTTTTAATGTACTGTAACAGTAATAATTCTCTTCAGTGAGCACTTATTCAGGAGGCCTATGCCTGTGTACATATTTTAATACATGGACACATCCAGCGAATCTACAGTTATAATATCAGAAAGCCAAATAAGCACATAGGTGCATCATGAAATAACCTAAATATTTTATTCTCAAAAATGCAAAACAATTTTTTGTTAATTTACTATATAAACCATAATAGACATTCTCACATACATCAACAATCTTATACATTGGAAAAGTGAAGCTACTAAAGAAGAATGTTGTGTGGATAATGTGCTGTGATTAATTTTATAATTTATTATGCTATAATGTTTTCCTGAAGAAATGCTTTTTTTAGATAAATTTTTTAAACTTTTATACTTGACAGTTTCTGTGATTTTTTTATTCAGAATACTTTTAGTCTTGGTTATGTGCAATAGATGTGAGTGCACTCAGTACTGTGACTCATATTGGTGACTCACTCAGACTTGGAACTAAAATCCAGTGACTTAGACTTTCCTGTGATTGTGAAGTGTATGTTGTATAACTGCTTCCACTAGACGAACTGCTTGACACTTGCTGAACTTTTTAATTGACTTGTAGAAAATATTATATCTGACATTTGTGTTAGAGTCAACTTATATATTTTTAAAATTTAAGCTGACAATTGAGAAAAGTTTCGACAAGTATGCTAATGTAATGAGAGAGAATAGAGTGACGTCTCGAAAAATGTGTACACATTTACAGGGCTTTCGGCAGTGTACATAAATTGTCACAAATGTACATAGAGGCCATGTTGCCATGTGCTGCCCTCTACGTCTGTGTTGTGTTTCAGGCATATTGTTTGCTCATTCGTCTGTGTGTACTCTGACTTGCTTCCCACAACTCATCCTTCAGTCAGCTCCATAAGTCCTCGTCTTCAGCCCCTTCATATCTCATAGATCCTGGTCTCATGAATTCACAACATCAGCCAGCATTATAGTTTTAGATTTCTGTCATGTGATACTGCCGAAGTCAAAGTCAGAGTCGGCCCCCAGACAAATGCGACTGCTTCTTGTGTATTATTTCCTCCTGCACTCATTATTCCATCCCATGTAATTTGGATGAAGACAGCTTGACTTTAGGCTTGATGAATAATGACACACTTCATCATTTAGCAAATTTGTAAAAGTTGTCTTCATCAACCGTACAGGGTGATTCAAAATTTCCTCTTAGGATGAGGAGGGCCGAGCCATGCTAATGGTCTGCCATTCCTCTGCCCTCCATATTTACATATTGTACACATGCTGTAAGACACTGTAATATAGATGTCTGATATAGTTATCAGTTTTGTGGAGAATACTGTACATAATTTTTTAGGAGAGTTGGAGTCCCTTGTACGACGCTCACCAACCAGAGAATGCTAAGTGAATGTGTTTTTGTATAAAAAATGAATGTGCTGATCATAGACACCTCATCCCCCCTCCCCCTACCACCCACCTTTTGATATTTTTGTTTCATCAAAAATTCACAAAGGGTTGATAAAACAAGTCAACATTTTAAGCAGTATGTATAGAGTAATGCAAATATTTCTTACCGACACGTTGGTAGACTGGTCTTTCTTTTTTTAATTTTGTGATAACTGTGAACAGTACTGTCAAGCTGTACACCAGGAAACATTTGTAAAAACAAAACTCTACCCCATAGGACGGATCCAATAAAGACTAGAATGTGTAGGAACATACTTTCTGTGTTGTTAGGCATCAATAAACAAAGTATTCATGCACAGTTATTTTATTCTCCACTTTTGTTGTCGCTTATCCCAATCTCAGTTTCTAAACTTCCCTGTGTGTAGATTTTGTTATTTTAGGTTAGGTTAGGTTACACAGATCTATAAAAATGTATGTTTACTCGTAAATAAACAACTTAAACGTGAGCACATTTTTATCTGGAAGTGGAGTGCAGGCAGGCCCTGCTTATATAGCAGGTTAGGTTCCAGGCTGTTGTAGGACTCCACTTATACAGCAGGTTAGGTTCCAGGCTACTGCTGTAAAATGAAAATCACTGTAAAGTGAAATATAGCCCTTTGTCACTTTCAAATGCATATAAAAGCCTGATAACATGTTTGCACTATCATATATTAAGTGAGCAATATTGCTAGGCTAAAATAATGCATATACAGTACACACATTACTTTTTTTTTTTTCAACAAGTCGGCCATCTTCCACCGAGGCAGGGTGACCCAAAAAGAAAGAAAATCCCAAAAAAGAAAATACTTTCATCATCATTCAACACTTTCACCTCACTCATACATAATCACTGTCTTTGCAGAGGTGCCCAATAGTTTAGAAGCATATATAAAGATATATAACATATCCCACCAAACTGCCAATACAAACTCCTCCTTTAAAGTGCAGGCATTGTACTTCCCATTTCCAGTACTTGAGTCTGGATATATAAAAACCGGTTTCCCTGAATCCCTTCACTAAATATTACCCTGCTCACACTCCAACGGTTTGTCAGGTCCTAAAAACCATTCGTCTCCATTCACTCCTATCTAACACGCTCACATACACTGGAAGTCCAAGCCCCTCACCCACAAAACCTCCTTTACCCCCTCCAACCGTTTCGAGTACAACCCCTACCCTGCCTTCCTTTCCCTACAGATTTAAATGCTCTCCAAGTCATTTTACTTTGATCCATTCTCTCTTAATGACCAAACCACTTCAATAACCCCTCTTCAGCCCTCTGACTAATACTTTTATTAACTTCACACCTAATTTCCACACTCCGAATTCTCTGCATAATATTTACACCACACATTGCCCTTAGACAGGACATCTCCACTGCCTCCAGCCACTTCCTTGCTGCAGTATTTACAACCCAAACTTCACATCCATATAAGAGTATTGGTACCACTATACTTTCATACATTCTCTTCTTTGGCTCCACTGATAATGTTTTTTTGTCTCCAGAAATGCCAAAACGCACCACTCATATTTTTCCCTTCATCAGTTCTATGATTAACCTCATCCTTCATATACCCATCCGCTGACACGTCAACTCTTAAATATCTGAAAATATTCACTTCTTCCATACGCCCTCTCTCCAATGTGATATCCAATTTTTCTTTATCTAAATTGTTTGATACCCTCATCACCTTACTCTTATCTATGTTCACTTTCAACTTTTCTTCCTTTACACACCTTCCCAAACTCTTCCACTAACCTTTGCAACTTTTCTTTAGAATCTCCCATAAACACAGTATCATCAGCAAAAAGTAACTGTGTCAACTCCCATTTTGTACTTGATTCCCCATAATTTAACCCCGCCCCTCTCCCGAACACCCTAGCATTTACTTCTTTCACAACCCCATCTATAAATATATTAAACAACCATGGTGACATTACACATCCCTGTCTAAGACCTATTTTTACCGGGAAGTAGTCTCCCTCTCTCCTACACACCCTAACCTGAGCCTCACTATCCTCATAAAAACTCTACAGCATTAGTAACTTACTACCTATTCCATACACTTGCAACATCTGCCACATTACTCCCCTATCCACTCTATCATATGCTGTTTCTAAATCCATAAATGAAATGAAAACTTCCCTACCTTTATCTAAATACTGTTCACATATATGCTTCAATGTAAACACTTGTTCTACACATCCCCTACCCACTCTAAAGACTCTGTCTTATCTCTAATTCTTTCAATAATAACCCTACTGTACACTTTACCTGGTATACTCGGTAATCTTATTCCCCTATAATTTTTACAATCTCCTCCTTCCCTCCTTCTCTTTATATAAAGGAACTATACATACTCTCTGGCAATCCCTAAGTACCTTCCCCTCTTTCATACATTTATTAAACAAAAATACCAACCACTCCAACAAAATATCACCCCGTTTTTAACGTTTCTGTCGTGATCCCGTCAGTTCCTGCTGCTTTACCTCCTTTTATTCTACGTAATGCCTCACGCACCTCTCCCACACTCACATCCTGCTCATCTTCACTCCTAAAAGATGTTATACCTCCCTGACCAGTGCATGAAATTACTGCCTCCCTTTCTTTATCGACATCTAAAAGTTACTCAAAACATTCCCACCATCTACCCAATACCTCCAGCTCCCCATCTACTAACTCCCCTACTCTTTTTTTTTTTAACTGACAAATCCATTCATTCCCTAGGCTTTCTTAACTTGTTTATCTCCAAAAAATTTTCCTATTTTCAGCAAAATTTCTCTGCCCCACATTATAATACTGCATTTTTAAAACTATCCCAGCCTTCTTCAACTCCCCCCACTATTCATACCTGCATTAGCCCACCTTTCTGCCAACTGTTGCTTATATCTCACCTTAACTTCCTCCTCCCATAGTTTATACACTTTCACCTCACTCTTACTTGCTGTTGCCATTTTCCTTTTGTCCCATCTACCTCTTACTCTAACTGTAGCTACAACTAAATAATGATCCAATATATCAGTTGCCCCTCCGTAAACAAGTACGTCCTGAAGCCTACCCATCAACCTTTTATCCACCAATACATAATCTAACAAACTACATACTTTCATTACATGCTGTAGCATACCTTGTCTACTTATTTATCCTCTTTTTCATAAAATATGTATTACTTATTACCAAACCTCTTTTACCCACTTTAGCACTGAGATCCTCAACCACAAGTACTCTCTCACTTGGTTCAGTACTCCCCACGCACTCACTCAACATTTCCGAAAATCTCTCTCTTTCCTCTCCACTTCTCTCTTCTCCAGATGCATAAACATTTACTATAACCCACTTTTCACATCCAACCCTTATTTTACAAGACATAATCCTTGAATTTATACATTTATATTCCCTATTTCCCTGCCATAACTTATCCTTCAACATTATTGCTACTCCTTCTTTTGCCCTAACTCTATTTGAAACCCCTGACCTAATCCCATTTATTTCTCCCTACTGAAACTCTCCCACCCCCTTCAGCTTAGTTTCACTTAAAGCCAGGACATCCAGCTTCTCAGTCATATAATCCACAATCATCTCTTTCTTATCGTTCACACAACATCCACGCACATTCAAACATCCCACTTTGATGGTTTTCTTCTTTTTCTTTTTAGTAAGCTATACGGGAAAAGGGGTTACTAGCCCATTGTTCCTGGCATTTTAGTTGACTTTTACAACACACACATGGCTTACGGAGTAAAGACTCTTATTCCACTTCCCCATGGATATGAAATGAAAAGCACTAAGAACAAGGACTATTAAGATAAAATCAAAGAAAACTCAGGTGAGTGTGTATACATGAACGTGACATGATATGTAGTGTGACCTAAGTGTAAGTAGAAGTAGCAAGATGTACCTGAAATCTTGCATGTTTATGAGACAGAAAAAAACATCAGCAATCCTACCATCACGTAAAACAAATAGAGGCTTCCTTTTTACACTCACTTGGTAGGACGGTAGTACCTCCCCGAATGGTTGCTGTCTACCAACCTACTACCTTACTACATTACTTACCTTTAAATATCTTCATCTGTAGCTTATAATGAGTGGCGAATGTATTTATTGTAAAATATCTGCATAAATGAAGAATGGGTATAATTGAAAACCAATATATTAGCAGAACGCCGTAAAGTGAAGCGTTTGTAAAGCAGGGCCCTCTTGCATTTAAACAATTATGTACAATTTTAAAATTTGCATGCATATTATGCATCATAAGAGGATGGATATTTGTCTTTTAAAATTCTTTACTAATACATGTTTATAATGTTTTTATTTCTAGTGATCCCTTGCATTGTTTTATATGCAAATAACCTGCACATAGGAGAAAGAGAGAGAGAGATACTTATGACAATGTTTTGGTCCGACTTGAACCATTTATAAGTTACACTAACATGAGAGTGCGGGTTATCTGTGTATTATTCCAGTCATGGTATTGTGCCTTTTTGTTCTTTATTGTGAACCCCGTGGCCTGGTGGCTAAAGCTTTCGCGTCACACTGCGAGTGTCCGGGTTTGATTCTTAGGAAGGGTAGAAACATTGGGGATGTTTCTTTACACTGGCTGTCTATGTTCCCCATCAGTAAAATGGGTACCTGGGTGTTAGTTGACTGGTGTGGGTCGCATCCTGGGACAAAACAGACTTAATTTGCAGGAAATGCTCTGCATAACAAGCGGCTTTCTATATAGTAGTATGTCACTGATATCAGCTAGGCTTGTATACCTTGTACATGTACTTGTAGAAATAAAGATATTATATTATTATTACTATTAATATTATTAAAATTGTTTGATGATCATTGTCTCCCACAGGGCTTGTCACAAACACAGACACACAGTATAAGTGGGTGTCCAGCCTATGACTGTCCTGAATTATAAACATCTACATTTAAGAATGAGACACTTAAAAACAATTAAATTTTTGTGGCTGCCAATGCACGGTTACAAGCATGCGAAACATGACCATCTCTTGTGTTAGTGTTTTCTGTAAGAAAATTCTTGATGCTGTGTCACTGTTAAGGTAGAAGGTTTGTGCACCCTCGTGTGGTACCTCACTAAGAATCCACCCTTAACCCTCCTTTGTTTCAACTGATGTCCTTTCTTCGACACCACTGCCACTTCTCTGCTTTTTGCTTTACTATTCTTGCTTCAGCCATTTACAAAACAGTAGGTAATTCTCAATCAAGATGGCAGTAGGTAGCCTTATTGTGGACATTCAAATCTTCTGTTATCTTGTTTTACCATGTATTCCTAGGTATCTCTTAGGATTTTTCAAGAAT